AATCAACGTTAGATACACAAAGTAGGTATATAAATTGTAATAAAACATGCATTTTTATTTTCGTTTTCACTATTTGTTTATAAGTACTATTATAATCGTCTTTCACTCACATTTTGGGTAAGATGGCCTACTATCATTCCAACATTTATAAAACAAAAGTCGTTATATTTCAAAAATTACTTTAAATATTACACTAATTAAATCTTATATGCAATATGTTTTGATCAAAAATTGGGTTTAGAATTTAAGTTTTGTAATAGAGGTTTCTGTTTTATATGTATATTATATTTTTCACAAATAATATGTATTAAATATTCTATACTAAAATGAATATGTCAAATTACGTTTTTTTCATTATTTTATAAAATAATAAGTGCAGAATCTTGAACATAAAATATGCATGGGTCATGTGTTCCTTATGGCCATCTTGTCTTAAACATTTAGGTAAAATGGCCAATGCTCATATTTTGATATTTTTGTAATAAATAATTTCACTGAAGTATTTTCCTTTTAATTTTGATGGTATTATATACTGTAGGCTTCAGTGAAATAATGTGTCAAACGCTATTAAGAAATAACAATAAGAAATGTATTTTTTTTGCATTTTAAAAAAGTATGACCATCTTATCCGAATTTATCCTATAGTAAATTAACTGTGATGGCGACATCTGCCGCTGTATGTTTATATATTAGGTCAAATTGAACAAAAGAATCCTCTACCATTTTCCAAATGACTACGTATATGTTTAATTATTAATGACATAACATACTTTATTTAATTATTAATTAAAAAAGTTTGGTGTACAGTTACGCGCAATATTATATAATATTATATATTATATAATATGTACATGAATTTTTATACTTATTATGAAATCCTTCTTTTAATGTACTGATCGGACTTCTAACCTGAAAGCTATATCGAGAAAAATTATTTCATACTTTTTAAAACTTTGAGGTTTTTGAAGGCGAACATATTTTATATATATATATATATATATATATATATATATATATATATATATATATTTTTTTTTATTTATATATATTTTTAGCGAACATTCTCTATCGTGGTTTTCTTTGTTGAGTCTCTTTCCTTCTCTTTTCTTTTCTTTTCTTTATTGGAAGAGTGGATCGCTTGGCATTCGTCACGCACCCCAACGGGGGTCCATAATCTATGCGTGAGGGTCAACTTGCGTCGGGATTGATTCGAATTCGTATAGAAGACAGCTCCCGAAGGGTTCATTAATATATTATACAGAGTGGCGGTTCGTTCGTCATTCTGATTCATCGTCAAAAAAGGAAATAGATGTCACTGTAGAGATGTAGACTGTACATAAAAGAAAAGAATTTATTTATTTCGACGATTTCGCAATGGAAACAGGTAATTTAGTCGTACGATACTTCTATCTTTAATTTTCTCCAAAAATCTCTGTCAACACAATTCTAATGAATGGCGCTACTCTCATGCGCTATATATGCGAATCTAAAATCAAAGAAAAATAAAATTATTTTAAATTAAATATATTTTTAGCCAGTAAGAAAAAACCGATGTTGGAGTCAATATTTTGCTTGAAAGAATAATAATGTTTGATATGTTTAGAAATAAAATAATATCGCGTCGTAAAGTTACTCGCTTTACATTATAACGCTTAGTTCTCTTTCTTTCTTAGGCCGGTTCTACAATACATCGTATGTCGGAGTCGGATGTCGGAATGCAATCAATGGTCCAATCAGAAGAACTCGAAAAACAAATTCTCTGATTGGCCTATCGACTGCGTTCCGACGTCCAACAGCAACATACGACGTATTGTAGAACAGGCCTTAGAGTCGACTTATGGCTCCTGCACACAGGAGGCGATAATGTTTGCCGCGCGGCGGAAGTTCGCGCGATAGCCAATCAATATGCTGCTTTCCGTAATAACCTTCTAGCTCTTACGGAAAAACAACATATTGATTGGCTGTCGCGCAGGCTTTCGCCGCGCGGCAAGCATTACCGCGTCCTGTGTGCAGGAACCATTACTGATTTGTGCTGATCAAAGGTTTTGAGTTTTGTCGATGACTGTCACCAACACAACGACAGAGATGACAAAGACAGAGGTAGACGAGACAGGGAGGTTGGTTCTCGTAATCGCGATTACGGAATACTGTTGATCATTCGACGAATATACTGGCGAGTGTGTTTCCATTGAACCGGCATTATCGGAAGCGTTCGTTATCCAAATGCGGCCGCCCCCGAAGTCGTTCTTGAAAATCGGCCTTCTGCTACTTCGTATCTCGTGAATATCTCTCTCACTCTTTTCCTTATTCTCTTGCTCTCTTCTACCGCGTCACGTGTCGAATGCGCTTCAACCACGTGTTTATCTATTTCTTTCAACAGAGAGAGAGAAAGAGGGGGGGGGGG